ACACGAAACAACAAAGGCGCAAAACCAGAGAGAACAACAACGAAACATCTCGACCTCTGCCCTCGTTTTCCGGCGACGGTTCGTCGGCGTCTCGGAGGTCGGACGGTGAAACCGTGACCTAGATCCCCCCTGTACTCGGTCAAGGTTTGTGTTTTTTTTGGAATTCGCTTTGTTTGTTTGCCGCTTGATCTCTGAGTCTACGTTTGGTTTTTCGCCGTTCGCAATGTGTGTCTCGTTATTGTGATTTTCCGGGAAATCTCGTCGTAATGTTGTTGTTTGGAGGCGATTTAGTGTTTGAACTGGAAATTTCCTAGGGAGTTAAGAATCTGCGGTGAATAATTTAGCGGTTGTGTTCTCTTTGGATTTCACATTGTCTACTGGGAATATTTTCGTTCCTGCGACTCTCCAGAACTTTTGATCGTGTTAGGTTAGACATTATGAGAATCTCCAATCGCATGTTCCTAAATTATATTGAATGATTATGGTTCTCTCGAACCTAAGATTAATTTGGCCAAAAGATGTAGTACATATTTGAACATGGCTGCTCGAGGGAGTCGGCTAGGGTTGCTGGAATTTGGTACTTCCAGAGTTCAATTTTTGGGCATGTATTCATTTTGTGGTATGATGGGTAATGATTTTCCAGAGATACGTGGTTTCTCGTTGCAATACTGGTAAATAGTTTAACCAACAAAAGTTTCGATTTCACCTGTTGAGAGGATCTTTTTTTACCCATGATTTCAAGTTGTCTCTAATGGTTAAGGAATTCATGATGTTACTTGGTGATTCGTTTCCCTATATTGTTGTGATTGCCTTAAGTTTGATGTGCATGTAGTTGGTGGGTCCTTAAAATAAAGGAGCCCGGCTTTTGGGTGAAAAGCACAACTTGGGCTGAGTCATGTCTTTGTTGTTTATAATAATTATCTATCATCTGGATTGTAACTAATACTTGCTTTTGCGCTGGAATTTCAAATTTGTATTTTTGGGGATGGGACCAGTTCAGGGAAGAATACTTTGGTCTTTGGCACGATTGGGGGGGATATATTATGCAAGAAAATAAATTTTCAACTGAAATGTCAAAAATGACATCTTTATGTTGCTTTCTTAGAGATTGGAGTTGTGATGCATGAGATCCAGGTCTGATCTGGCTACGAGAAAACTTAATAGAAAGGGATGAAATTATTGAGGATGTGGAGGCAGATTTTGGAAATCACCTATTCTGTGGCATGTTAAAGTTGACATCAGAGCAGTTTTATTGCATATGATTCCCTTTGGTCCACCATGGATTCTCTTACCTCAACATGAGAATACATTGAAGGCTTGAGGGTGCAGCATGTATTTTTCATCATCACCATCATCTTTCTTTACATAGCCTTTTTCATTTTTCTTCTACAGCTCGGTGAAGGTCTGCAAATGGGTGCCCAGGGCTTCACTGTTGATTTGAACAAACCCCTTGTTTTTCAGGTAATAATGTTGCTGAATATCTTTAGGGTCTTATCTCTGTGCATCGTCCTTGAACGTACTTCTCAAACTAGAGTTTTTTGCCGTGCTTCTCGAAGATTCTGACTTCAGAGTAAAGTTATTACCCTTTTGAAACCTTCTTGGTGTTCCTTTCGATATTTCTCAGGTTGGCCACCTTGGAGATGCGTACGAGGAATGGGTTCACCAACCTATTGTGACCAAAGAAGGCCCTCGGTTTTTCCAGAACGACTTTTGTGAGGTATTCTCCTTATTCTCTCCCTTTTTGCCATGGAACTTTTCATTGACGGTTGATGCCAAATCGTCTCTAGATGATGTGCTGCATTCGTTTATCAACATTCTTATGCCATTTTTGCAATGGAGCAGTTCTTGACCCGGACAGTATGGTGGGCTGTTCCGGTAATTTGGTTGCCGGTTGTTTTCTATTGCATCTCAACATCAGTAATGATGGGGCATACGCTTCCAGAAATGGCTGCAATGGTAGCATTTGGCATATTCATATGGACATTGATAGAATACACTCTCCACCGATTCCTTTTTCACATTAAAACAAAGAGTTACTGGTTCGTCTCCTCCTCTCTCCCTGTGACAGACAATACCAATAGACATTTTTTTTCCATTGGAGACAGATACTAACTTTTTTGTCCAAGGAACCAATAATCTAGGGGGAACACTGCACACTATCTGATGCATGGATGTCACCACAAACACCCAATGGACCACCTTCGTCTCGTTTTCCCTCCGGCCGCAACCGCCATTTTATGCATTCCGGTAATTGTTCAACGGCAAACTGTCCTTCACCTTCGTGTTATTATTTTGATAGGGTTTTGTCCTAAACCGATGCGTGTCTGCCTCGTGTGAGACAGTTCTGGAACATTGTGAAGCTCTTTGCGACCCCTTCGACAACTCCTGGATTGTTTGGGGGAGGCTTGCTCGGCTACGTGATGTATGATATCACGCATTACTACTTGCACCATGCCCAACCATCCAGCCAAGTTACCAAGAATCTTAAGGTACACACAACATCAAATCCCTTGGGAATTTTTTTTATATAAAAAAATTATTTATATATTTTTTTTTAATATGACGTGGATATCTCTGCTAAACCTTCAAATCCAAGTTCTAAGTAGCAAAATCAAGATGGAAGTTGTGTTGTCTGCTAACGTGATGTGGGTCACATGTGGTGTAGAAATACCATTTGAATCATCACTTCAGGATACAGGACAAGGGGTTCGGAATCACTTCGTCGCTATGGGACAATGTGTTTGGTACACTTCCTGGATCTAAACCCTCCACCAAATAACTCCAAAAAAAAAAAAGAGGAGGAGGAGCAGCAGTGAGGACCGAAGCTGTGTTTCATCACCAAAAAAAAAAATTAAAATGGTCACTGATGAGATAATATCTTCCCCCATATTTAAATGATCCTCTGTAAATCAATTGTGTTTCATAACCATTCCTTTTGGGGTCTGTTTATGAACATCGTTACCATCATTATTCTAGAAGTTCATTTAGGACACAAGGGGGTCGAAGGTAAATGTTTAATTTTCTTCTTATTAGTCAAGCAGAAGAAGAAAAAAAAAACACATGTGCATGTATCTTCTAGGGTTGGTCATCATATTTTACCGTACAGTAAAATTTTTGACTGTTATCTCTCGGTTTGATTCTTCATTCTGAGTGAACTATCTCGTGAAAACAAAGATATGCTCGTTCGTCTCTGTCGTAATTAGATTCATCAATGATGTAATTTTTTTTTTCCAGACAAGACAAACCAAAAACCACAAAGTGAAAACCCTATAAGACAATACATACCCTTTTGTTATTTCCCCCCATTTCGTTCATTAAGATAAACAAACAACGAACGAATATTCATCAATTCAAGCCGATCGACGTCGGGATGCTCTGCTCATGCCTGAAGAAATTCTCCGGATCGAGCTTCCCCTTGATATTCACCAACCGCTCGAAATTCCCCTTGAAGTACCTACTCCCCCATTCTCTTGCATCGCTCTCCTTGTAATTCATCCCCAGCTCCAGATCTCTGTAATTCACGTACGCGCCTCTTGGGTTCTTCGAAACATACTGTTCCATATAACTGTACGTGTCTCTCATCCACTTCATGTGCTTGTCTTGGCTCTTCTCCCCGTCTTGCCACAGCGTCAGCCACTGTATCATGAACAACGTCCCGTTCCTGTGTGGGAATGGCGTCTCCGTCTCCGAGATCCTCCCCATCATCCCTCCGTACGGGTTCCATATCGTCAATGGCGAATCCTCTTCCATCAGCTTCTTCCACAGCCCTTCCAAGCCCCCGATTGGGATCGGCTCTTTCACGAAATCTGACTTCGCTTTGAAGTAGTTCTTGAACAGTGACTTCCCGTCGAGCAGAGCCTCCGGTGGGGTGCTGCTCGGAAAACCGGCGATGTACATTACTGATTTTATCCAACTGGTCTCAGTACAATCTTTCCTCGTTAGCCCTAACTCAGGGAAACTCTTCTGCATCACCTGTCCGAAAAAACCCATTTGCGTTTTTCAGATTAAAACGCTCAAACCTTTTTTAAAGTTTAGATCTTTGAAAAAAGTTCGCAACTTTTACCTGCAGAAGCCGATTCACGTCGCCGAGAAACTGACCCTGATACGAAGTCGACACCGTCTTCTCACTTCCCTTAGGGCTTTTACTTGCTGTCTGAATAATCACACGAATGAACAGATCGTCGTCGAGCTTGTCGGCCACTTGTTGCCACTTGTACAGCACCCTTGTTCCGTCTTGTTCCAGCGTCTTCGTTACGGTGAACACAGTCACTGTCTCCGGCACCGGAACTAGATTGATCTTCCATGCGAGGATCACTCCGAAGCTTCCTCCTCCTCCTCCTCGCAATGCCCAGAACACGTCCTCTCCCATGGCGGCTCGATCGAGGATTTTCCCGTCGGCGACAACGATTCTCGCGTCGATTACGTTGTCGGCTCCGAGTCCGTACTTCCTCATCATGGATCCGTACGCTCCGCCGGTGATATGGCCGCCAACGCCGAGGCTCGTGCACAGTCCCGCCGGAAATCCACGCGTTTTGCTGTTCTCCTGGATCCTGCAAGACCGGGTGTTAGATTTTGCAATTTGTTACCAAACGAATCTAAACGATAACCGGTTTGGTTTAGCCGGTTTACCTGTAATAGACCTCGCCGACCGTGGCGCCCGCGTGAACCCATGCGCTGTTGCTGTCCAAATCGACGTCAACTTGTCGGAGCTTGCGCAAATCCACGATTACAAACGGCGTTTCGATCTCCGAAACGTAAGACAATCCCTCGTAATCGTGACCACCGCTGCGAACGCGTAAATGCAGGCCCAGCTTCTTGGCGCACAAAACCGCGGCCTGAACGTGCGTTTCGTACAGCGGTTCGAATATGAACTCGGGCTTTGGACTTGACGCCGTCAAGTAACGGAGGTTCTGGGCCGTCGACTCCAATACCTGCTTGTACGACGTCGCGTTTAGGTCGCGGGTGAAGAACGCAGCCGCGATTGGGAACGATATGTCAGAGTTGTCCACCAAACAGAGCACGAAGTCTTCTTGCAGTGTCGCGTGCGTCGAAGAGACTGTGAACGCAAACGCGATAGTTAGGAGCAACGCGATGGCGTTTGGCTTTCTGATCGCAAACGCCATTTTTTAATAAGAAAGAAGGTGATGAAGATTTTTATTTTTTGGGTTATGGTTTATTCTTCGTACATGTGTCTGTATATATAGATGGTCCATCGACGGGAGTTGTACGTAAAGTTGATGTAATAATTGCATCATGGTGTTTTGTATATGATAATTATATTTTTATTCAATGTTGTATATGTGTGTGTATATACACCCTAGTAATCACGATGTGATTATGAAAAATTATGTTTTAGAAATTTCAATTTTCTTCTACAAGTTTGAAACTAATTTTGAAAGTGTGTTTTTTTCCCTAAAGAAATGTTTTTCAAAGTTTGATATATTTTGTAACAGACTCAAGTAATAGAATTATAATTTTTTTTTATTAGAGACTCTTCATCTTTTGCATGAATGATTAATTAAAAAATAAAATAATATCTTATCGATTTTTTAAAAGTAATTAAAAATGCTGATAATATCAAAGACACTAACGCCACTTTCCCCTGTAATTGTGGCTCAGAATTTATATTACCATTTATTCTAACCTTTTGAATATTAAATAATTATAAAAAAAATATTCCCTTACCTTTTGACCCTCCAAATACTTTGAAGTTTTATCTTATGGTTTTTACTTTATACTTGTTAGACAATTGTCCACATTATTATATAATGAATTCATCCATAAACATCTTATTATATAATCACTACTATAATGTCGATTCTTTGATATGGATATCACATGGCCAACATGCTTTTGATTTCTTTTGTCTAACAAAAGATTCTCACATGTAAAATTTATATAATCCAAATATTAGAGTGCATAATAATAATTAATTAGGGATGCATCCCATATATCCACGACAAAATGGTGAGAATTTTAGATATTTTTATGTTAAATATATTTTTCTATTCAATAAAAAATTAAAAATCTAGTTGATTAGTACGATTTATTTTACGAATATATATATATATATATATATATATCCAAAATATATATTAATAGTTTAGACATTGATAATTTTTTTACGTCATTTAGTTGGATTTTAAAACACTTTGGCTCATTTTCCTTTCACTTAACTTTCGGATTTTTTTTTTCAAAATTCCAAATTATATCTTATTGATTAGCTATCGAGTTATAACCAACCGTACGTGGCATACTGATCAATTAATGATATATAATAATTAAATGTTTTTATGATAAAATTGTACTGAAAAGCTCTCATACGTCTGATTTTATAAAACCGACTAACTCTCAAATGAAAACTTTTTTATATCACATGTACATATTATAGTCTTATATAGCAATTCTTCCCAATATATATATATATATATATATGTATATGTACATGTATATATATATATATGTAAAAGGGATGGAAATGGAAACGAACGATTTAGGTTACAAGGAGGAAATATTTGTTCAGGTTTTGGTGAAGGGTCAGCGAAAGGAATAACTAAACAAGTGGTGATGGTGAGTCTATTTAGCTTCAAAGCAACGAATTTCCATCAAATTCCTTTGTCCCATGACTATGCAACATTCCCGGCCCTAATATTACTTGCAAGTTTCCATCATGTATCCATATATACACATACACATATATATACATATATACATATATATGTATATGATTCACCTAAGATAAAAATTCAAGGCCACAAAAAATCATCTAATCAAAGACAACGTCGAATGTGAACTAGTGTAGTTTTGGGGGGTTTGCTTTCTCTTTTCGATATTTTATGTACATTATAAGTTTTTTACTAATATATTTATGACATGATTATACTATTAAATAATCTTTATAATCCATTATGAGAAAGATGGAAACTATTGGCCCTACGTGGCGTCACGTATTATGAGAGGTAGGACTCTTTCGGGCACCCACCATTTTATTACGGGATTTAATTTTATGTAAATCTTTTTACACGTACATTTAGATTAATGTGTTATATATATATATATATATATATAGAATTTTTTTTACAAGAATTTATAGACATGTAGTGTGGCTATTACTACTGATTTGATAATTTCTCCAAAGTTAGACACAAAAAATAATCGTGTCGTGTAAGTTAAATAATAGAAAAATATAAAATGAATGTAGACTTCATTGAACATATATAAGATGTTATTGATCGTCTTCACATCGTATTATTTTATTAGAACATTTAAAAAAGTAAACCATAAATACATAAACACAAAAAAAAATGTCATCGATTTTTCTCCATAATTATTCCAAAAGCTGTAAAATTCAAATATAATAATAGAAATTAGCAGTTGGCAATGAAGATTTTCATTCTTTTATATACGATATAAATCCGTGGATGTATATGCAATTAGTTGGGGAAGGTAACAAACGAATTATCTTAATTGAAAAATTTAAACAGACACTCCAAAAGTTATGCCTACTAAACTTTGATTTGATAACATCATCAAAATCTTTATTACGTGGTAATGAATTTTGCAACGTTTTTATATATATAATGTATGCGCATGGAATTGTATAACCTATAGAAATTGCGGCGTATAATGCGCGACAGAAATCATTTTCATTCAATCGAATGAAATCAGAATTTCATTTTATCACAATCTTCCAAAGCCCTTTCCTACTTCCTACTTTTGGTGGGTCCATGTCGGATGCACACACATGTATACATACAAACAAAATCCATATGTATATATACACACACACAACGTATATTGTAATATTTTAATTGTATAATACCATTTTTTATTACAAGTATTCTTCATAAGTAAGATATGAAATTTTTTGGGTCAACCTATTAATCCATAACACAAGATTCTATTTTTTGTTTCGGTGTTGCTTGCATAGTTATATACTTAAAGGGTCTCTATATAGCTAAGCAAAATCCAATAATTTATATAATTTCATTTATATAAGTAATTAATAAGAGCCATTTAATGACAATCCATTGTATATAATGCGTTATTATGGATGGCCATTTTCACATAAACTAGCCAATTTCGAAAATAGTAATAAGTGTATAATGAACCATGGATAAAAATTTTAAAAATAGAAAAAATGGACCGTCAAAGCGTCAATTTTCACCAACCGGCAATTCAACACGTTCCATCTTTTGAACCATAGAAAAGGAATAATATATGGACCAAATTTTATTTAATTTTACGTGTTTTTTTGTATAGTCCAAATTAATTGATCAAAATCTTAGATTCTTTTTCCCTTTGGACATCACTAAACATTCAATCACGCACCATAATTCATATTCTCCAATACATAATGCCCCACCAAAAAAAAAAAGCAAATGAAAAAATTTTTAAAACAAAATATATGACGCCTTTACAAATTAGGGTTTCACATGTTATATATACACTAATTAATTAGGTGTAAAGCTGCAAAGGGTTATCCGCATATCCCTCTTAACACACAAAAAATTACCATGCAAATAACACATAAATATATCCTGTCTAAAACATATATAGTATAACTTTAAAAAAATCAAATTAATCAAGTTAAAATTGAATAAAAAAAACTTAACCGAAATAAAAATTTTAAAAATATATATTTTTTAATAAAAATCAAATTCGAATTAAACCCAACAGAATTCAACCGAAAAAAAAAATATCAAAACTGAATAGAATGAGTTTTTACCAACAATGAGTATAAAAAAAATATAATCTGATATATTCATCCTTATAATTAGAACTATTTTGTTTGATTAGGAACTTAAATAAAGGGGCTAAATGTACTTTCAATCACTTTTAATGTTCCTTTAGCTTTAGACAAATCTAATCTATATCCATGTAACTTTTTCAACAATTCCTTTCTTATTTCAATCATGCCATTCCCCATAGACTAATGCTTCGACACACATATATGTACATATATACACACACAAGCGTCTATATATGTATATAATATGACGTATTAAGCTTAACTTGGAATATTCATCCGGGGGAGACAGAAGCTTAAAGCAGCATCCACTTCTATGTCTTGTTGACCCTTTGATTTCCACAGCTCTCTCTCTCTCTATATATATATACATGTACGTATACATGTATGTAGCATTATAATTTACATTTTTTTTAAAAAAATTCACAAAATGCAAAGTATATGAATTTCAACTGTTATTTGAAGGACCGACCAGAAAAACTTCACCAAAACATTCAAACGGTTCCCCCTCACAAAGCAAAGAAAAGAATGAAACAATAACAATAACAATGCTCTCTCTCACTCAAAAAGGAAAAAAAGAAAGAAAGAATTGTGTATATAAAAGAAGATTGTATATCCAAAACAATATATAGGATTTTTACTTGTGGAAGACTCTTCCTCAGAAAGAGGATCCAATCTTTGTCTTGTACCGATACAGAACTCTCTTCTTCTTGCCCGAGGCATTGTCGACCGAAAGAACGATCTTTCCCGGCTCGTTGTTCCTGAAACTGTTTCGGGTCGGTCCCTCGTTTGATCCAATCTTCTTGCCCTTTTGAACGATCACTGTGTAGGACCCTTCATCCGCCGGGACAAACTCTTCCTTGTAGTTCACTTCCCAGCCAAGGACTGCTATGTCCCAAACCAGAGTAGCTCCCACCTGCGCCAAAAAAACAGAGGGATTCATTGGCAAAGAACAAGAATCAGGACACATGAATAGGGAATCAAACAACATTTCCTTCGAACCAAGACCTAAAAAAATCGGTTCAGAATTCATGTCAAACGATCATCTGGTGATCATATCCAACCAATTTCGGATTCAGTTCCTTCCTCTTCTAATTTTCAGACAAGTCTCTTCATTTTAGACTGAGAACATGAGGGTTTGTGCTTTCGTTACCTCGGGAGCATGGATTTCGATGGTTTCAGACGATCCAGGCTTGACGATTACTTCAGAAATAGTGCCAGACGCATGTTCACCGGAGAATTCAAGATCGTCGTCTCTTTTAAACCCACCGTACTGAACAGGGATCTCCTCTGCGGGGATGTACCTGCAGCAACAATCACAACGGTCTAAAAGATCAAGACTTGTATCGGTAAACTGATCAAGACTTGTGTCATTCAGGAATTTAGAACTATCCAGATTCATTGATGAGAACGTTAAAACTTACTTGAGGAGGGTCTCGGTGACTTTAGCCGGGCGACATACCAAGAACTTGCTTTTGGTCCGTTGCGTCAAGAATGGCGACAAGAGAGCGTTCAGAGCGTAGAACCAGAATGGCACATTGATAAATATCTGCAGAAAAACAAACAACCATGAGAGAGGACAAAATCAAAGATTCTTCAAGAGTCTGATAGAGGAAAAGAAAAAAAAAATTACACTTACATTTCTTGAAACGAGTTCAGGGTAATTGTCTTGCAATGCCTCAATCGCATGCTTAATCGAAACCCTGATCTCTTTCTTTGTTAACCCGGGAGAGTTCTTAAGATCGTGGATCTGAAGAAGGGAAGTAACACCGCCAGGTTTCAAATCAAGCTTCTGAATTCCCTTCTCCATCAGCTGAAACCTCCACCTCAAGAACTTCTCTCTGTTCTCCTCTGTTCCGAAGGTTTTCTTGTAAAGCTCCTCATTGTCAAACACTCCATAGACATTGTAACACACTGGTCGACCTTCGAGGTCTACGCCGTTCATGTAGGCAGCTGCAGATTTGAGTTCTTCGCCGAAATCTTCCTCTAGGATCGAGTCTATGTTGTGTTTTTTCCTCCATAGGAGAGTCTTCTTCAGCATCTCAAAGGCTTCATTCACTTTGAAGTCTCTTGCCCTCAAGAATTTCAAGAGAATTACATCAGTGGCATCACCTCCTTTGCCTGGTAGTAAAGGCACTCCCCAGAGAGAGATGTCCTGATCGACCGTCTCTTCTTCTTCTTCCTCCTCATCTTCGACCTTCTTCTTCTCTTTTTCGGTCTCAGCTTTCACTTCTTCTTTAGGAGTTTCTTCTGTAACAATAGCCTCTGTTTTCTTCTCTTCGGCGGCCCCAGCTTTCTCCTCTTCTCCCACAACAACATCCTCAGTCTTCTTCTCTTCCTCAGCCTCAGGTTTTACTTCTTCTTTAGGGGCGTCTTCTGTAACAATGGCCTCAGTCTTCTTCTTCTCTTCCTCAGCCTCAACTTTCACTTCTTTTTTAGGGGCTTCTTCTGTAACAAGAGCCTCACTCTTCTTCTCTTCTTCTGCCACGACATCTTCTTTCTTCTCTTCTTCGGTTTTCTCCTCTGCTTTCTTCTCTTCTTCAACCTTTTCCTCCACTTTCTTCTCTTCCTCAGCTTCTTTCTTCGATTCTTCCTTCTTCTCCTTCACTGGATTCTCCTTCTTCTTGAACAGAGTGTTTCCAACAATGGCGTCCTCGAGCTTCGATTTCAGATCGCTCAGAGCCTTTCTCTCAGACTCCTTCAAATCAGAGAAGAAGTTGCTCTCTTCCTTGAAGGAAGCGCTCTTCTCTACGGATTCAGGCTTCTTCTCCTCCTGAAGAGTCTCCTTTTCAACAGTCTCTTTGACATCTTCCTCGAGAGCTTTCACTGTTTCCTCGACAACTTTCTCTGTCTCTTCCTGAGGAGCAACGACAACCTCGGTCTCAACCTGTTTCTCCTCGACCTTAACTTCAGCAGTCATGGTTTCTTGACCTGAGTAAGAATGACGAGAAAAATCAAATAAAGTTCCTATCTTTGCCGAGAATTCAATTACACTCATCTTTCTACAACTATGCTCCAGCTCTTACATGAAACCCATCAGGCTCAAAATTACGGTCTTCCACAGACTATTTAGCTAAGAAAACGAGAGAAAATCCGAGAAAATCAGGCATGACAAGAAAATCAAATAAGGCTTCTATCTTTGTGGAGAGAACTCAATTACATTCACTTTTCTACAACTATGCCCAGCTCTTACATGAAACCTATCAGATTCAAAATTACTGTCTTCCACAGATTTAGCTGAGAAAACGAGAGAAAGTCCGAGAAAATCAGGAAAGATCCAAGGACCAGATTCTCAATTTTCACTACCAAAGACAGATTAATCATCTTTGAGGACTAAGTAGCTAACCCTAAACTAAGCCCCTCAGGGAAAAAAGAAAGAGAAAACGAGCTCTTTCACGGAACTCAGTGGATCCAAGGAGCAGTTTTTGAAACAGGTTCTCAATTCTCACTATCTAAGAGCCCAAGGCAGATTCTCACAGCTAACCCTAAACTAAACCCATCGAATAGCAGTCAGAAAACCCCAGATACTGTAAGAGAAAACGAAATGCCCTTCAAGGAACCCGGTCGATTGTTATTCATGGTGTCCGAATCCGTACGAGAAACCGACAGAAACTGCAAGAAAATGAGAGAGTCGGGAAAAACCCACCTCAAAGATATCGACTCTCTCTGAAAATTGCTATGCTTCCAGAGAGATTCTTCGCAAGAACTCTCTCTCTCTCTCTCTCTGCTTCTGCTTCTGCTTCTGCTCCTTCCTCTCTCGGTCTGGTCTGCAGAGAAAGCACAAACCTTGTGGAGAGAACGAGAGGAAGCAAAGGTGTTTATGAAGAACCCTAGGGCAAGGGTCCCACAACAGCAACGGTCACATGTTCTGGCTCCACCAGCGAATGTTAGCCGTTGGATCCGCGAGTTCCAGCCTGGCATATCCTCTATGGGCCCCACATTCGCTCCTCATGTTTTCCTAACGGTCGTATATCTAATATCTGTCCTTGAGAACTGTGGCTGTTTCTTGTTCCCTATACCCAATGGGATATCGCCACGTGGATAATATCGGCAGGAGGATGTTCGGCGCAATGGACGGATATTATTTTTTAAATTGATTTTTTTCTAATTTTGAATTTAGAATTAGAACGTGAAAGTTTCCAATTTAGATAAGATAAGGAAAAAAAAAACTGTGTAATTAACAGTAAGATATTTACTTTCATTGGAATGTTCCAAATTGCTATGTCTATGTTTTAAGCAAATCGGTTTAATTTTTAAACTCGCTTTAAGATATTAAAAACTATATTATATATTTACATTCATTTAAAAATCAACAAAAAAATACGCGGTATATCATATTTGAAAATACACAGGGAAAAGCAAATAAAAGTATCTTTATGTATATAATTTATTATCTCATGAACCTTTTGCTACTTTTTATGAAGATAAAATATTACAAAGTAAGCCAATCAAGATAATGCAACATCCATGTAAATATATATATTTTTTAAAAAAAACCGCCGTCCGAACAAAATAAAATATGATTGATTACGATTATATATGTATATATGTCCCCTGGACATGACTAAAAATATCCATATTCCACATATGATATATCTTCATATATTAGTTAAAAATGATTACAAATCAATCATACAACCTGATCGTTATGAATTTTTGTTTTTATAATAAACTATATATAAAACAATATATCTTTATATAATCTAGAAAATAATAATAGTAAGTCCAAAACATATAATTTTGATGTCAACAAGCAAACTGAATGATTGAGAGGTCGAAGTCAACCGCTACAGCTAACTTCTCCCGCCAAATCAGCCGCACAAAAAGGAAGAAAAAAAACACAGACAGAGAGCATGCATCGAAGCAATGAGCCCATTAATAGGCCCAATAGACTTCTAATTGGGCCCTCTAGGATTCTAATTGGGCCCTATGTTATAAGTAAATCCAGCCATTCTCAGTGGGTAAGAAAACTTGGCGGCAAAGTCAAAGGGATTCCACGTGGAACCACGTAACAAGCCGCAGCCGCCAAATGCTCCGTCGTTTACCGAGTCAATCGCGAGCCACGAGGAGTTTTTTTTTATAAATAAAAATTCAATAATTTTTTTTTATACTGTAATAATTACATAGATATTTTTTAGGAATTTAATTTATTTATTAATGACAATTGATTAGTTAACAATCAGCGGGTAAAATGAGGGATTAAAGAAAACGATAAGGCAGTTATTAAGTGGGGAGTAACGGTTGATTGAGAAAACATAGAGTGATATAATTCATCATTTAATCTATTAATTAGATACCTTATTATTTAAAAATCAGCCGCCAAAATGAAGATTGAACGGTTACTAAACTAAATTCTTATACTTAGTTAATATCAAAATTCAATAGCCATATTTAATTTTGTAATTCAATGCTTTTGGCTCATGATATAAGTGAATACATTATTTTTAAAAATACACGTTATTAAAGTGCTACAGTCTTATATATTCACTAAACATATATATACACATGTGTGTGTGTGTGTGTGTGTATTCTAAAGTTTTTTAAAGTCTAACATGTATATGCATTTTCGTGAAATGTTTGCTTATGTGATCGTTTCTTGATGTCTTGTTATTTTATTTTATGTGTGAAATAATAATTTATAAAAGGTAAAAAAAAAGAATTATGCCCTAATTATTAGGAAGTAGTTACTCATAAAACCCACCATAACCCCTCCTTAATCTCCGCCAAAACCCTAACCTCTCTCTCTCTCTCTCTCTCTCATATATCTATATATATATATATATATATATATGTCAGACAGTTAACGAATTCCAACTTACAAGTCGAAGTTCCACTTCAGTTTCAGAAAGACATTACAGTATCTCCTCGTCACCAGGTCCATTTCTTCCTCGTATCTCTCGTGTCTTTTCTCTTTCCAAGTCTTTGGCTTTTGCTTTCCTAATTCGTCTAATTAGCAATTTGTAACTAATTGGTAGTAATTAAAAGCTGTAATTAAAGCTTACCCATAATTAGATACTCAACTCCCTTCATCTTTCAGTAACTCCTAATTGCTTCATTTTCTCTTTCTCCGAATTTCAGATTTCATTCCAGTTCTCTTCTCTCCATTGATCATCATGAGTTGCTTGAGTTACTTCTCCAACTGGGATCCAATCCAGCTCCAGGATTGTCTTACTCCGGACGTGGATATGTTTATCCCGGTTAACGACTCGTTCTTGTTCCAACCTAAACCTCAACCTCAGCAGCAACATCTGTGCCAAGAACAAGCTTCCTCTTTTGGCTTCGACCCCTTAGGCTCTTTCTCCGATTCGCTTCTTCTTCCCCAAGAAACATTTTGCCCCAACCCTAACACCGATCCTCTCAACCTCCCCCAAGACTTAGATTCCTTCTTCCCCGCCCCAAAACGCCAAAAGATCACTGAACCGAGCTACCAGTGCAATACCCTCGACCATTTTGCAAACCCTAACCCTAATTTCGTCGACTCTTACCTCGACATTGTTCCAGAAGGTTCTACTACATTCCCGGAGTTTCGCATTCCGGATTTTCCCGTGGCTTTTGACGCCGGAAGGGCGGATCATACCGGCTGCAACAACGCGAAAAAGACGCAGCTATCAGCTCAGAGCATTGCAGCGAGGCAGAGGCGGAGAAGAATAGCGGAGAAGACTCAAGAGCTCGGAAAACTTATCCCGGGAGGTCAGAAACTCAACACCGCCGAGATGTTTCAGGCCGCGGCTAAGTATGTCGTGTTCTTGCAGGCTCAAGTCGGAATTCTTCAACTTATGCAGGTACATAAACACAAACCCTGTGTATAATCCAACCAATAAGAGAAACCCTAATCAGATCTTTTCTCTTATTCTGATGTAAAAACCCTCGTGTTGTTAGAGCGAAATGCCACAGGAGAACCCTAATGTCGAGCGAGAAATCCGAGCTTTGCTTGCGTCGCAAACGATGCAGGAGAAATTTTCATCCGAAGAAGTTTGTTTGGCTCCGAGGAAAATGGTCCAAACCCTAGCCGCAGACGAATCAATCTGGAAAACTCCGAGGATGTTCCAAGACATCAACAGGCTCTTGTCTGCACATGAGACTGATAAGTTTTGATTCTAGAAGCTCCGTATTTGTTCAGATGTTTAAAACATCGTCTTTGGTTCTTGTCTTTGTATTGTTGGATTAGTGGCTAACTAATTACCCTTGTTAATCACCTATTAACCAGGGGGCTAATACTCCTCCTTGTTTGTATTAGTCTATATTAGCTAAGTCTAATGTAAAATTTCGGTTTTAAATCAACGTTTAATCTCCAGTAATCATGGTTTTTTTTTTTTACAGTTTCGTATTCTTTTTTTTTTTTTTGGGTTAGGAAACCCATTTCGAAATCACGAATATGAAATTCATTTTCAGCCCAATTAATTTCATGACAGTGGAAATTCACGTGGGCTGGATCGGTTTGATTTTGTCAGCCCAGCCAGAGAAATCTCCCCATATCTCGCTTATTTTCGATTTTTTTTTTTGTCATCCAAACAATTTTCGATATTTTTTACCAATTCAAATCTAATCATGAACAACAAATTTGTTTGTTGACTATTATTAGCGATTAAAATAAAAAAAAAAACATTTTTAAAAATATGTTGAATTGGGTGTATAAAACTAAACTAAATAATATATAGTTGTACACTATAGTCAATCTAAAAATTTATGAGATACAATTTTATGTAATCTATGAATTTAAAAATAATTCAATGAGAAGCATTTTAAAAAAAAGTATGTTTTAGGTGAATCGAATCCAAGAAAAAATTATATAAAATTTGATCACATATTATTTTATAAAATAAAAAAATAATTAGGATTTTTAACCCACGTTACAGTTCCAAAACTCTATGAACGAGTCCGGAAGAATTTTAAAATTGAGTGCAATATAATTTAAAATACGTGAAAAGATTTATGTTACGGTTTCATACAAAAAAAAAAAGATAATGATTATTTGTATAAAGAATTGCATTTATGATGTGATAGAATCCAACTTTTCTCCTCTATTATTTCTAATGTAATAATTAATATTATTGGTCATATTTATTTAATCGGGTGTGGGTGGAGTTATCACTCTCTTAATTATTATCAAAAGACCATTTTCACGTGCTTACTATCTTTTTTTGTGGATTTAAGGTTATAAAAGAGCTTATTCTAAAAGCTTTATGATGTGACTTACCATTATATGTATCGTATACTATATATGAAAAAAAAAATAACCCAACCAACCATTATTGGCTGATAGTATAGCTATATATGTGTGTGTGTATTCGATCAACTAATTTAATTAAACTATTATTTTATAAACACATAAATCATAAATTGTTAAGAACAATATATATAATTATTAGAGACTTACGTATGTTTAGTGTATATATGTTGGTATATAAGTTAGTAGACTAATAATAATAATAAGTCATAATATTAACATTTGTTTTATCACCGATATTGTGATTATTCAGTTGGTCGGTAATGATTACAATGTTATAAATATTAGGATTTGTATCGATTATTTATTTGTAATAAAATTTAAAAAAAAAATGCAAAATTATTCGTTAATAGAGGCAGATTGAACGTTCATACATGATAGACAGACAGAAGCTACAATTCAAATAATGGATAACCAAAATGATGGAAATAGTATCATCCATATAACCCTACTCAGTACTCACTCTCCCACCAAAATATTTTTCTTCCAACTAAATAATAATGCCCTCTTAACCCTCTTGTCCCACCATTCGAATCACACAGAAAATTTTTTTATATATAAAATTATAGGGTTATATAGTAAATAAATAAAATGTATTATTGGACTGTTCTTTTGCCCCTCATTACAAATCAAATCAAAACAATTATACAAAAAAAAAACTTTTTTTTTTCTTTCTTTCTCTCATCAAATATAAAGTTGATGGATTGGACAGAACCTCAAGTCACTGTTCCCATAATATTTTGATGAGATCTCACACTCTCGAACGCATTCCCTTTGATTCTTCGCTCGAATTCTATTGAATTATTTTATATTAAAATTTTGCTTTTTCGATTTCAGCACGCGTTATAAAAAAACACGTCCGTAAAGCTCCTTTTTATTTTGTATTGGGTGGTCACGAACGGGTTTTAAACGGTCGAGAAATTAAACACAGATTGTGAATGAACTATTCACAAGCTATATATGTATATATATATTGTTAGAGGAAATTATACAATACTGGATATACTATATAGATTATTCACATAACAAAATATCAACACATAATTCGATCGCGTGCTTTTTATTGGATTGCATGGCAATTTTAGGGTTTAGAATTTTATAAAGAACGCTTATTAAAGATTCGAAACACGTCTGAAAAATCCATCTGTTTAATCATATAGAGTTCTTTTTCTAAACAATTAATTATTAAGATATAAAAAAAGGATCTTTCTAAGAAAAAAAGGACTAGAAAACTTTGGTTTTAAAAATGTCCTTAATTGATATTACATCCAATGGGCATGTCTACAAAATGACAAAAATTAAAAGACTTTGGGCAAAGAATATACAAGATATAGACTAACCACTATTAATTAGGACACATATTGGCAATTAAAAGGAATACACACACACACTAGTAGATACAAAAAAAAACTAGCACTATAAAAAAATCTGTAATTTCGAGTGACAAGTTATAGACATATATATATATATATAACCTACTGATACACTATGTTGGTATTATTAGGATGCAATACAAATACGAGACCCCTGTAAAATGACACACATTATAATTATATATATACATTCTCAAATCAGGTCATGCCACACAATGTCATATCACATGAATAAGGACAAAAAAAAGTGACAGAAATTTACACGAGGAATAAAAAGTGTGTGTATATGTGAAATAATTTTTTTTAAAAAAAACCCATTACTTTATCCCTTTGAAAATCTTTTCATTTTTGGAAATAATGTGTTGTTTAATCACTTTCTATTTAATTCGGCCTGAGGGAAAAGCCATGAAACTAGGGTTTTCCCCTTTCGAGATCACACTCACATGCGTCGGTCAAAAAGATAAATTATTCTCACCATCATTTGCTTCGCCTTTTTTTTTGTTAATTATCATTTTACAATGAAATCTGTTGTGGGTTTTTTGTATGTATATATTATCTTATTTATCATTGATTTTTTTTAAAAATAGAGTTTTTGATATATTTCTAATTTAAATGGTAACATTTATATATTTCGAGATAAAAAAAGGGAGATGTGACTAGATCCGATAACATTGATACTCGTAGGGGAATCCCCCATCTGTGTTGGTGTTGGTTTGAGAGTCCCCTTCCTGTAAACGAGGTCGTTGGTTCAACACCCAGAGTATGGAGATTCTCCTTCTGCCACCTTCGGGTGTTTTACATCCCACATGTGTGTTGCAGGGTCGTACGCATGGGTCGAGATTAGTCTGGACCTTTGGGCTTGGGATCACCCGATTATCAAAAAAAAAAAACATTGATACCGGTAGATCTCTTGTATCATTTTTTTTCTCTCTCTCTCTCTCTATAAATTTATATCCTCTGTTATTCTTTGTGTAGTAATATCATCGAACCCATGGTGAAAAAACAGATAATCTATATTTCTTTTAACAGTAAAAAAAATACGTTTACAAAATAAAATTATTATATCATACGATTGTAATTCATTGAAAACCTACTCAATTTTCATAGAAACCATATGACAGAGACAGAAAAATACTTTTATATTATATCAAAGAAGTTCTCTGCATGCATATGTATGTCTCACAATGACAACAAAATGAAGAAAAAAATGTTCTTATAAAAAAAATGAAAATGATACTCAAATGATTAATATCTCAGAATCGGACACTAATTATACACATTTAACTATAAGGCATCTCCATTTTTTGTTTATGAGATTTGTAAGAATTTTAAAATATCAGTTTGTTTTCATGGAGAATAAAAAATGCACTACATAAACTTAGTAATAAGTTTTTTTTTGTTAATTTATATAAATTAATTTAAATAATTAAGACTTGTTTCAATACACACAACCTAGTAGCACTTACGCATTAGAAACATAAGAAAAATAAAAATATCTAGAAGAACGGATGCAATTGGAAAATAGGGTGTATGAATAAGAAAAATTAGAAGAAAATGCAAAACTCTCGTATGAAAAATGAATTTAATACACAATGAAATTTTAAAATAATATGATCTATATATATAAATGCATATATGTGGAGAGTAATGTCTAAAATGTGTGTACTTGTTCACTTCACTTTGTGTCACATCCACCAATATTCCCTCAAACCCCACTTTCCCCTGCTCCCATCAAACCAGCATTCATTTCTACTTCCATCCCTCCCTCGAGAGAGAAATACATCCACATGACTTTTGCAAATATTATATATATATATATATATATATATATATATTAATAACCTTTTTATGCCCACTCCTATTAATAATAATATTATACTCAACAAGACTTCCAATGTAAATTATTTTAGTTACTCTCTTAGAATGATTCACATTTGCATTAATTAAATTATATAAATCTATAAATTAGTAATTATGAAGAGTTTTAGTTATATAAACTGTTTTGCTTTGTATAGAGTTTAGGTATGATTATACCTTTTTTTTATTAGGTTTAGCCTCATGTATTCCTTATAATATTATGATACAAATAAAAGGATTATAGTGAAATAAACTTCTATTATCTATTTAAACTCATTTAAATATTAATAATATATACTCCCTCCATTTCTTAATAGTTGATCTTATAGACAAATTTTTTTTTTGTTTCAAAATAGTTGTCATTTTAGATTTTCTAAGTAATTTTTTAAAATAAATTCCAATTTTATCATTAACTAAAACTAATCATTTCTAATAAACTTAATGAATATTAATTATATTTCGGTTTTAAATAAAGATATACATGACTTTTTTTAGAGTTTTAAAAATTTATGAAAAAGTTAAAACTTTAATTATTGTGAAATGTAGGGAATACATAATATAACGCATTAAATTTGATGAATCTATATATCTATTAATAATATGCGTTTTATTTACAACGACTCCAAAGAGAATTATTACAATAATAAATAAATAACTCCACAAACGGTCCACTGTCTCTACTCACGCGATCGCCGTAAACAAATCTACATAAAATGACGAGATTACCCCTTGCCCATCGTCGTTATGATGACGCGTCTACAAGGACTTTGAATTGGAGTCGTCCCCGTCCTCAAACGACGTCGTGTTATCGTCGTTGCGATTCACCGACCAGTCGAAGCAGAAGTCTCCGAAAGCGTCAGACGACGCCGTTTCATTCTTCCGGACACCGTCTCCGGCGGCGGATCCCGAAACGGAGCTAAACCCTTGAGAAAGCAACAAGCTCAGAGGATCATCGCCGTCCAACTCGTCGAGATCGGCGAAGAAATCGTCAGAATTGTGATGAACCTCTGACGACACATCCGGTCTGTACGACTGAATGTTGCTGTCGTCGACGTCAAAGTCCATGTCTTGACATTCGTCGCGAATTTCCTCCTTAACCGCCGGGTTTGCGGCCGGAGAGTGGGTGTCGGGCTTTGGTTCGTCTTTGGTGGCGACTCGTGACGAGGTGGCGTTTGCGTTTGGGGATTTGGAGGAGGAATGGGAGGTGGAACGAGTCGAGCCGGCGAGTGCGTTGCGCTGCGTCGGCCAAGGATGGTTGTGTTCGGAGGTGTAAGTGATGACTAACATGTTCGGATCTGCCCTGCTTCGTTCCACTTGCTTTCTCGCCGAACAGCCCTTCGAGCTGCTGCATCTGTAGTATCCCCTTGTGGAATGAAATCATACGATCGATTGTCAGAATTAGAAATGTTGGGCCGACAATAGTTATGTAATGTCTACCAATTATATACTTGATATGGTTATATATGAAGAAGGGTTCACTGTACTTTTTTCATATGATATATGTTTGGTCAGAGAATCGAATCAAGCGTATATATATATCAAACAAAGAGACCATGCATGCACTGCAATCTATGGAATTTGAGACATTTTTGCGTGAAATTTAGGTAAACAAGTGAGAGAGTGCGTAATATTTTGTTGCTTTTGTGCAGTGAAAGCTGCGGGTCTTAGGTAACTTGTATGTCCGTATACAGAATTCTCTTTTCCAAGAATTAATATATATCATTTCTTTATAACAAAACGTTGTCCGTAATTCGCCTGTTCATCCAGATTTAGGCATACGTAATCCATAATTAACTCCTCTCACACATATATGAACACACACACACACATTTATATATATCGTGGCTGAGTGAATGAATAAATAAATCTTTTTGCATTCGATGAAAATCGAATCCTAGACCTAGTGTCTCCTCCAACACTAAGTATATATGTCATTTTCCATCAAGATATACTCATATACAACTCCTCGAAGTCTAATAGGTGTGGAAATATATGCATCGTCAGATATATATATACGCATATATACAAGAGTGTATGTGTGTACCTTGGATAAGGAGAACCCTTGATGGGTTTTTGACCGTACTTTCGCCAAGCCCATAGATCAGATGGAACCACTTCTCCGCTAGACCGGCTGTTCGCTGCGGCAGGGGCCGGTATACAAACCACCTTCTTAGCCTGGCTCTTCCTGCGATATATATATATGTATATATATATTACACATATGCATACATATAACTATTGTTATATGTATTGTGTAACGCTTATATCTTTGGACTGATCGTGTGGGTATATGTATATATATGTACACACATGAGCATGTGTCAATATGAAACACTACTTGATGGAAATGTATTAGGAGTTAGATGAAAGCTAAGTTCGTGAATAATGAAAGTGGGACAGGCAGTTCGGTTTCTCCTACTTTTGTTTTCATGGTTTGAATATGATGCAACGCAATTATGTTCTTTGTTTGTTCATAATGTTGACAGTTCATAGATTCTCCTGTGCGCCCAACAGTATCTCTACGTGGATCAAGACCATGACATGTACATATTATATATATATATATATATATATGTATCTCTCTTTTGTATGTGTATGTGTGTATGAAATACGAATACATATGTATAATATATTTATGACAAAAGACAGAAAAACAATTTCATGTGTGCAATGGAGGATCAAACAAAACCCTAGCTCAAATTCTTTGATTAATTCTTTCCTTCTTATGATTTCATGAAAAACCCATAAGAAGTTTCAAGATGAGATCAAAATGATGCGCAAACGGGTCAATCTTAATCAATTAATTAAACCCTCTTGGGCACTAATTAATCATTTTGGGTTACACTTATTATTGATGTATATATATTTTATGGCATAACATTTAATGACTCGTTTAATCAAAGACCAAGCAACAAAAACCTTAATTTAATCACCAAGATCAAAGTGTCGAACTTAAAATTACCTTATAGTTTGATCAAATTTCATACCTTCTCTTTAGGCCAAGATTCCTCGGAGACGAGATCTGGAGTTGCGAAGAGCACGTGTTATTACCGTTCAGACAGTTCCTAGGACTGTTTGTTGCATCGACGTTGATCATGTCGTTACCGACTGCCGGATACTTTCCGATGATGCCCGTCGGCGGAGAAGCAGCCACGAACGCCGCCGAAACCACCGGAGAATTACACGGCGAGGCGTCGTGAACGATGTTGTGCGGCGAGATCCGGATTCTTGGGAAGACACTGCACTGATTCTTGATGTGATCGTCATCAAAAACCTTAGGAACCATAAAATTGTTATTATTATTATTATGATTATTGTTACTACAGCTACTGCTGCTGCTGATATTATCACTGGAGAATCCTCCGCCGGAACCACCGCCGGAGAAGTAGCCGGAGGAGGAAACGACGTTGAGCTCTTGGAGCAAAGGGTCGGTCATGTTCATGAACGGATCTCCGAATCCGGCAGAGGGGAAGTCCACGTGGAGATCTGATCGCTGCGGCGGCGGTGGAGGCCAGTTTCTCTCCGGCTGGCCTGGAGATGATGACACGTGTTCTCCTCCGCCGGTTCCTCGTAGGATGTCGGTTAAGTCTCCTTGGAAGCTGTCCATATCCAAGAACTCAAACACACTGCACATAATATGATATATGTGTATATACACACTGAAAAAGAATCAAGAAAACTCGAGGAAGAATCAAAGGACCAAAACCATGATGATTTCGAGAGGAGAAATCGTTAAAAATTCTGGGTTTTCAGGGAAATTCACGATCGAAGTGGGAGGAGGAGAAAGCAAGGGCTTAGGGACGAGAGTAATTTTCCGGGAAAATTCTTATTTTCCAAGAATTTGTTTCCCGGGAAAAGTTGTATGATTGAGAGAGGTGAGGAGAAGAGAGAAGAAGACAAAGAATGGTGTTGATGAAGAGAGAGAGAGCGCTGACTTTTTACAATTCTTCTTCTTCCTCTCTCATGTGTGAGGGAAGGAGAGGGATTTTTTAGTATTTAACAAAAAAAAAGAGAGTGATTTTTTAGTACCAAATATAAAATTAAGGATTTTATAAATGTGGTTATAATAAAATAATAATAGGGAGGTGATGCATATATTTTAAATTTCAATATACCAATCTAAAAATAAAAGTCGAGTCTTATAATGTATTTTATATCGTCTTTGTAAATTATTTAAAAGGCATGAAAAAACCATACGAATTCTCGATTTAACTCGTAAAATAACTTACCAAAAGATATTGAATTTTACATTTTACAAATATAATGAATATTTAGTAGAGACAAAATAAAACGAGTTCGTTTCACACAAAATAAATCCCATTTGAAAAGGATTGGACGTATATTAAAAATAACACGTAACCATCTAATGACAATAAAATTATATATAATTTAAAAGCATTATATCTAAAATATCTTCGGAATATTTAATATAAAAAATCTCAGTATAACATAAGCTGCTACGCATCAACATTACATCATATATACATACACCGATACGTATGTATTATATATATGTGTATATTTTAAACACACTGGAAAAGAATAATTGATATTTTATGAATGATCCATATGCGTGGGTGCATATAAATGTGTGTGTATGTGTACATAATTATGTGATATTATATAATATATATATATATATATATATATATATAAATAAAAGTGAAAGGACCGAAGGAAATGTCGTCTTCGGGAAACAAGTGAAGGGGAAGTAAAGAGATGCGGCAAGCAGCCGCATTTCTCGGAGTACGTTTCTTCCAGGACCGATGAACATGTGCCCCCTCAAATATATTTAATTTCACATTTTATATTCTCTGATCTTATTTTTCTTCCTATACATTTACTCCCGATATTTAAATTCCATATTTTAGGGGAAAATTAATGACGTTCATAGATTACAAAAAAAATAGATCTTATAATTCCCTCTCCAAAATTGAAATTTTGCTAAATCAATTCCAGTGCCAAATATATATATATATATAATCATAATAATTTTTCACTACCAATAAAATCGACCTGTGGAAAATAGTTATTTATATGTTTTCTAGATAATATAATTCATCCATTCCAACAAATGAACTAATTAATAAGGAAAAATATATCATAATAATTATTGCTAATAGAGTCGAGAATTATTAGGTTTGCATAAAATGAGACCCTTAAATTGCAAATAAATAGTAAGCACCGTAATAAAATCAATGAATTGCTTTGCACATAGATTTTTTCCATTCGTCAAGGTATTATTTTAATAGAAGAATATATAGACTAATTTTATAATTATTTTTAAGCCAGTCATTTTTAATTCCCTTTATTTATTTATTTTGTATATTTTTCTTTTACTTTTTCATATATGCCATCGTTAAATCTCGAACTGTGATACACGGAAACGTATACTTACATTGGTCAAGTCAGAGAACCATTGACTTATTTAGGTCGATATTTTTCTAATAAAAATTATTGACGAAGAAAATTAAGGTGGTAACAGTTGAATTAATAAAAAAATCAATAATAAACAAATATGTCTGGCCATTAAAATCAACTTTTTAATCCCAGTTATGCACATCTTTCAATGATAATTTACGATTAAGGGGTAATCATGTTGGGATTATTAGTCATGCTTATATATAGATATATATATATATATATGTATGCATGGGATGGGATGACGACTTGTATGTTAATGTCGGGATGGTAAAGAACAAAGGTTAGTTTGTTTCCTTTAAAAAGTTAAATTAATTAGCAGCTAATCATGATTTAACTAATTAATTAATAGTAATATTTAATTTGTTGCTTTTTTCTTCCTTATCTTTGGATTATGAAAGTTAGGAAAAATGTCAATTTGTATAATGTCCAACTTTTTTATATATGCTCGTTTAAAATATAAATTAGAAAAAGGGTTGGATTATTAAGATTGGATCTACGATTATAAGAGAAACTTTGATTGGTGAAATTGAGAAAATGGGCCAAATGCCACTGAAAGGAATCACCGACCTTATCCCTTTGATTAGACATTCTTCAGATTATATTCTTAACCTTTCTACAATCATAATTATCATAATAGTTCAATATATTTTCCTTTATTGACCATTTTATATTCGAATGTCAGTCTTTGTTACTATTTCTCAAAGCATCGAAATGGCATATATATATATATATATATATATATATATATATATAAAAGATATGAATAATACAATTGATATTTTCTAATTCAAATTAATGGTGAAATTTTTCAGCGAAAACAATAGTAAAATGGAACATATATATACATATATATCGAATTTAAAACATATATATTTATCTTAATTAAATCCAACCGAACCAAATTAAATGGGTTTATATCGGTTCGATTCTAATATTAATATATTTTATTAGTGCTAACTAATTAAATCGTTGCCATCATCATCTTTTAGATTTGCCGATTTGTCGCCAACTGTGTGTATGTGTGTGTATATATATATATATATTGGTATGTGTAACAACATGTATCCTATTCAATTATGCCAACCAGATATTAATTTCCATGCATGGAAACGAGGGTTTTAAAATACGAAAGAACAAATTCCTCACATGGTATTAGCATGTGTTCTTATTTCATGCATGTTGGCTTAACTGATTTAATTCGGCTAAATAAATAAAAAAAATTAATTTGAAATCAATGCCCTAATGCTATAAAATAAAAAAAGGGTCATAATCAAAGTCGCGAAATTTGAATATAAAGATCTTCGGGTAAAAATAGCAGATTCGGATTCTTTAAAATTTGAAAATTTCTTCGGGTAAGGAAAGCAAAATCACAACAACACGAACGGAATGTATATAAATAGGAATTCCCATGGAATAATTTGGATATAGTTAGACCAATTTACGGATTATATGCAAACCCGTGTATTTGCTAAACTCAATGGTTCACTATGAAATGGCCTGTCGACTTTACACATTATTGTGTGTGTGTATATATATGTAGATATATATACATAATCTATAACTCACTTAATCCCGATTTCGGTATGAATTTTTTTTTGGCATATTGCGGTTCTGTATTGCTGCTTTTCATAATCATCCATAAGATTTTGTTTAAGAATTTCACATAATTGTTTTTCTTATATATGGTTGATTATCGATTTGAATTATTCGTTGTGTGTTTCGTAATATTTACGATCGATATAAATTCAAAATTCTTAAAATTTCAGAGGAAAAAGAAAACGAAATCTCAACACAGCGACACATTTTGTTACGAAAGATGTTTTAGAATCGTGTGAATAAGTATATACGATCCCTTTGTTGCATTAGTACGCGATGATATGTATATGTAGCATATTAAATAACAAAAATATCATTCAATCATTCACGAAAGAAAGATATCCTCTTTTAAAATCTTTTTTGTGAATCGAATAAGATAAAATAAAACGTATATGAATTAAAATTAGCTTAAAAATTCTTTAATTTTAATCTAGATTAAACGTAAAAAGACCAATTTCAAAAGTTTACCTGCAATCATAAGGGCACAAAATAAAAAAAAAGAAATTGAAAATTGATTTTTTTAAAACTATTTCCGTAATAATCAAGAACTAATTTTTATATATTAGAAAAATAATAATAAAAAACGATGATAACGAAACGGTCAAAAAAATAATAGAAAACCCTAGGTTTAGGATGTGAATAATTCATTGGTCGGCTTCATGACAAACGCCTTAGCCCCCACATTCATGCATGACACCCCCATCACTACTACTGTTTTAAATATTGATCATTCTTAATTTTTATTTTATTTCGGTTAAAAAAAGGAGCATTAACTTGAAATGATTATTCTCTAATAAAGCTAAAAAAAATTATATGCACTCTTTTTTTTTTGTTAAATGTAAAATTTTATATATGTATTATGTTTCTTACAAAGGGAGGGTTTAAATAACCACCCTTAGTCTCAAAAATTACATGGAAGTTCTATGCACTCTTATTTTCCCATGGTATACTTTAGACCACCAAATTTTATATCTTAATTTACAATTTTTTTTCGTAAAAGGATAATGAGTTCCACTATGATATTAATTGATCCGAATAAAAATAAATTATGGTAAACTACATCTATATATAAATGTGGTAATTTCAAATAATTCCTAAATATTTTTTCAGCGGAGAAAATAAGACATTGCTTATATTTTAATACAAACTAAAATTAAAATAAGTAAAGGCCTGCCTCTTTCCACGCTGACGACGCATGTTGTCAGAAATAAAATAAAATAGTATCCAAGGGTATTAATAAATTAATTAATTTTAGGTGTTAATCCGTTTGCATTTTTTTTATACCTTTGTCCGTTTTCGAGATGAGATACTTGCCCTAACAGCTGACGTCATCCTTTGGCTGGGCTTCTGATCTGAGCCGTACACATGCTATCCCCACGGACGGTTGAAATTTAGTGTTGTGTATTATAATTAAAATTTCATCATTAGGGAAAACAAGAAGATCATTACCAATAATTACATTTTACATTCATTAATGCATTTTATATATTCATTAACTAGTCGAAAAAATAAAAAAAATGCATGCATATATATATATATATATATGTAGGACATGGTTAAAGGTTTTTGGGTGGACCAAGTTCTTGATTGAACAAATAGTAGATCATATGAACTCTTATAAATTGAATAGCTTATATTAACCATTTTGTATATTTTTATATTAAGAAAGACATATATGACAAACAAAAGTATGAAAAAATGCAATAAAAACCAAAGATAATTAAGTATTTGTAGATTGTGGGCGTTTAAATTTCTCTTATAAAAAAGACTGCTAACCGGTTTCTCAAAGGAGTAATACGAGCCCTCTAAAAGTCTAGGGTTTGAAATTCATAAGAATATTAGATATTTTACATGGTATATATATACTCAAAATCATAGATTAATTAGGTGGAAAATTAATATTGAATTTAATTTATTAGTGTTATAGTAAATCCAGATTATAAGTTAACCTAACGCTCTTTTTTTTTGGTTAGGAATGTGAATAGATATGATTTAGCTGGTCAATAAAAAATCTATTGGACTTTTCATATTCATAAGCTAGTGGAGAATTATACCTAGGATTAGGTTAAGCAAATTATATACTAATATTTAATTTTTGCATGAAGTAAGAACCAAGGAGCTTATTCCCGAGGAGATACAGCCTACAGATTCAAAAGACAAAAGTGATTATAACTATTTGTTAATTAATACAACAATAATTGAAAAATGATTAAGATTAAGATATCATTAATGTAACTGATTAATTAATGATATTAAACGATGTTCTCGAGTGGTGTAGCACGTGACCTTCTTCTTAATCCATGTGTGCGTAAATGACTTTGCGTGATGTGGGGAAGAAGATCCACACGGCCTTCAGGTTCATAGAAAAAACCATAGTCATCCTTTTTATGTCGACATTAATATATACAAGTTTTTTTTTTATAATTATACAAATTTGTCTTCGTTGTAGGAAAACAAATTCAATTTTATAGAACTCGCCTATTAATTTGGTTTTAAAGATTTCATTTCTTTACAAATACAGAAAAAAGGGCGGAAGATAACATAAAAGCATACGATTGATACATAATTTAATGCAAACCATTGCTATAGCTAGATCTAATGATTTCAAATTCATTAAATAAACTTTCGCAAGATTTACTTCATGTCCTCCAACTCCTTACATAGATGTATGCTTGAAAGATATAGCCTTTTCTACAAACTATATATAATTCCAATAAAAAATTATATATATATATATATATGTATGTATATGTGTGTGTATTGTTGAAAATTGTAATGGAATGGACAGAACAATGGGATGACAACACGTTGTGGATTTAGTTGTGTTTTGTCTTCATTGTTGTCTCGTTGGAACAAAAGCAAAACCCAGAGAGAGAGAGAGAGAGAGAGAGAGAGAGAGAGAGAGAAGCTTGTTTTGGATCCAAATGATTACTAAAGGCAGCTCTTTGGGATTATCAATGCGAACGAGAAAATGAAGGAAAAGAAAAAAGAACAAGACAGATCGATGAACAGAGAGGTTGCAGACTCAGACACAAAGCATTCGGTTCCTTTGAGCTTTTTGAACCGTGCCAACTTGTTCTCATCCATCTGTCAGTCCATTTTCACTATTATTTTCACTCTTGTCTTTTTTTTTTCATTTTCTTTTTATATACGCAATTTTTTTTCTCATATAGATCAACCCATACGCGACTATATTACACGGAAACAAGGATCCCTCTTATGCCCGGCTCAGCTCGTGGACTCGGAGATAATATTAGAAATATGTACACCAAGATATTATCAGTTGGATTAAAAAGAAATTATCGCTTAGACTATAAAAGATTTTTTTTTTGAAAAACTATATAAGTTCTAATCTATCCAAAATATATGAATATATATCTTAGAAAAGATAGTGTCACGTTGATATGAAATATGTTAAAAATACAAAAGTCTAGTCTATGGATAGATAAAATGGAACAAATAATATCATCATTGCGAATATAAACTCCCGCTTATGTTTTAATTCTATTCGCCATTCGACATGGAATTTTTCAAATGATCTTTCTATATGTACATGTAGCCATATTGAGAATATAGGATCAGTTCAAATCCAAAGGTATATAAGATGATTTGGGTTTTGTTATCTTGCTCAACAAGTGCCATATGTTGACATTCTATATATTCCCGTTGACCAAATTTCCATACACACATACCTCCCGTTTTAAAGATCATTATTTGTTTAAAATATATGGAAATTTATGAAAGAACAGCCATATACATATACACATACACACATATATATCTTCCTTGACTTGCTGCTCTCTTTAATTGGTTTTTAATAATGTTCTCTCATGGATTCTTAATATTTTCCTCGTGTTATATAGTATAACAAATATAACATCGAATTAGAATATTACAAGCTCCTATTTAGATTATATATAGATTTTTTTTATTAAAAAAAAGCTCAAGCCACTAAGCTATATATGAATATTTGATTAAATTGTGTAATCGATATCGAAATAAAATCGGAACATTTGTTTAGACGCCAAAAAGGGCGAAATTTGAACAAGAATTTTAATGATATATATGATCAAAGCAAGAGCACTTGATTCTCTCTCTCTCTCCAAAACTGTTCAAAGTGGTTCTTGACCTCACTTTCTCACAAGTGCTTGTCCTTTTCCCATCATTTGGGATTTCATGTCACCAAACACAAAAACAAATTGGAATAATTCGCCTTTTGCATATCACCGCACACAAAATTTTAAAAAATAAAATTCTATTTTTAATGTACAAAAAAGTCCGCAATGTATAAGAGAAGAGGAGAATCATAGAAACATTTTAATATGTATCATTCATTTATTTCTTTTTCTTTTTAGTTAATCAGATCCCTATTTGCCTATCAAGCATAGTGTTACTTGAGAAGAAGATGCAACTAACATTGGAGAAGGGTATATATATTACCTTCTTCCTTGCTTTCCATCTTCTGAATTTGCGGTTTGTCAATCGGAAGATTAATCTTGATTTCCCGGAGGATCAAGTGTTTCTGCAATTGTATCAAAAATGGCGTTTGAGTGATATTTCCAGCAAAGACTTTAAGGGTTTTGAGGATTTCGGCTTACCGAACAACGTCTTGAGAGACGGTTTCTTTGGCATCTTACTCTTCTTCTTCAGTTCCGCTGCACCAAAGTATTATTAACTCAATAGCGATGAATGTTTTGGGGGTTTTTTGTTATCGCGGAAAAAAATACTGACCGATGCCAGGGATATGATGCTCATCGACAATCTCGAGGTTCTTGAACGTATAACCGACGAAATTCACGTCCTTGGATGAGATCATCTGCGAGGTTTTACGGACAAATGTAAGATGGAAGATTTTGCATAGTGCAATATGCTTAGAAACGGTCATCAATGACGAAGCATTTAAAATGACAAGAAGAAAGGGGAAAATCTACCTTTCTCCAAGGGCCAGACTTTGATGAGGTTTGGCAAGAAGAAGGAAGCTGCACGAGAAAATTAACCGAATTTGCTTTACAAACCAAAAAACATGGAGGGTGAGATATTCGAACACATGATAAAGCTATTGACTGATATCCTGCTCGGTTCCATATCATTGTTATAGCAGTAATGGTCAGGTGAAAAACTTTCACATTGAACAACTGAAAAGAACAGAGAGAAGTAGCCAAGGCTTACCTCTTCAAACTTCTCGAAGTTTTGCGTGTCCAGTTCGTGCTTCACCTGTGGTATACACGGAGCATTTATCTCGTATAGTCTTTCCCATTCGATTCCTCTAAACCATGGATGTGCCTTACGGGAAAAAAAATCAAACATTTAAGTGATAAAAATAAACTAGAGTTAGCTTTCATTTTGGAAGATAATAAGAGAATGATGGGAAGTACTTTTATTTCATGAACTCCTTTGGTTCCAAGCCTCTGTTCGACGTTGCAGAGCAGCCTTCGGATGAGATCTTTGGCCTCGACGGATAGCTTAGCTTCTTGAGGAAATTTCAAGCAATGTTTCCAGTTTATAATCTGCGGAGATGAACTGAGCATTTGTTTGATATAATATATAGAAAAGTCAAACATTAGTAGAAATAGTCTCAGATCATGGCATATAATAGGTTCGAAAAGATGACAAAATTTACATAGTAGTCCTTTTGTGAATGGAACAATGAGCTAAATGAAGGACAGTTTCAAGATTTTAGACATGGCAATCATCGGAATCATTAAAAATGTATCAGAAGGATAATCAAGCCAGCATTTTTACATACCTTTCTACATGTTGCCAAAGGCTCTTCCGAATAGAATGGGGGAAACCCCACGAGCATCTCGAACATGATTGTTCCAAGGGACCACCTATAACAAAGCAGTTTTAGCATACCTAATTGAATAGTTGATAGAAACAGTGTAAAATGCAAGGCCGTAGTTGACTAACCAGTCGCACTCCATCCCATATCCTCTCTTCATCAGCACTTCGGGAGCAATATAATCAGGAGTGCCCACTGTAGAATAAGCCTAAGCAGTACATGAAAAACCCGTTATACTTGGTCAACAATTTAGAAGAGGTACATTACCCAAAAGAAGCATTAGAAAAGAGGTAAAATCAGAGGGAATTAAAAACTTCATGGAGATTAAAGCATTGTAAGGCTGCAGGATTTCTCCCTCAAGGAAAAAAAAATGCCCCTTTATTTCCCCTAAATTGGAGAAGAATCATCATCCACAGTATGTTCTAGAAGTATGCCAGGTGGAATATTGGTAAAGTAACATGGATAGAGACTAGAGAGCAATTACCAAGCTCCTTCTATTTTGTTGCCAATGTAATAGCTGTTCCTGCTGTGTTCGCTTAGGTGCAGGAGGCTTGGAGAATTTATCATACTCTGCTGCAGGCCTTGTACTCTTGTTAATGCCAACTACATCCTCCTTGAGATCTGGAAAATTTCTGCTTTCCAGGGACTTGCTCAATCCAAAATCCGATAGCTTGATATGACCATTACAAGTGATCAATAAATTGTCAGGCTTTATATCCCTAGAAAATCAAAGAAGAAAATTGAGAGTTAAATATTATAACACAATATTTAAAGATAGTCCACAAGCACTTGTAGAAACATACAATATGATGATCTAAGTATCAAGTTCAGACCTGAGTATCAAAAGTTCAGATACATTATGGACAAAAGACAACAATGTAAGAAGCTACAAGAGCCAGTTGCATGGCCAGCTTATCATAAGTTTGACAACATGAATATAATACGAGCAGCAACATTCTCTTAATAAGGGGATGGGAGAAAGAACCTGTGCACATAGTTATGCCTGTGGATAGACTCAATTGCAAGGACTGTCTGTGCAACATAAAACCGAGCCTCATCCTCTGTCAAGGTATCCTTTCGCATCAGCAGTGTCATCATGTCACCTCCAGGGAGATATTCCATTAAAAGGTACAGGTGTTCTTCGTCTTGGAAGGAGTAGTAAAGCTTAACGATGAAAGGACTATCAACTTCTGCGAGTAGATTTCTCTCAGCTTTAACATGTTCCACCTGATATGCACCACATACAAAAGGGAATTATTCTCCAGGTGACAAAGAAGCTTTCAGGAAGGATATCATGGTTACTTCTTAGGTCACAGGGACACAAATCAGATTCATAGAATCATAGAGATGCTGTGAGACATGCTTTACCTGGCCTCTACGAAGCATCTCGGATTTCTTTAGCTTTTTCATTGCATACACGTTTCCAGTAGATTTCTCTCTGCAAATTCTCACCTGTGAAGAGATGGCAGATATCTTACATCAATAAACCGAATAACACCATCAACAGGATTGCTCGAGTTCAAGGGAATGGAAGCGTAGCTTGTGACAGATATAGAGAAGGAAAAGAAAGTAAAACTAATCACAAGAGTTAAGAGAAAGACCTCCCCAAAAGTTAAGAGAAAGATCCACGTAAAGACAATGTAGGAGACAAGAAACTCAGCATATAACTAAAACAAGAAAGAAAACCACAAAAGTTAAGAGAAAGACCTCCCCAAAAGCACCCCGGCCTATGATGCTCAGCTGTTCAAAGTCATCAACCCCCATCTTATGTCTTTGCAAACGCATATATTCCATCTCCTTTTTCTCAAAATTCTTCAATATATTCATTTGCTCTTCCACGGGAACATCAGCATCAGCTAAGTTTTTTTCCAAAATGCACCGACTGTTTTCAAGAGCCAGCCAATGTCATAAGGTTTAATAAAAATCAGATGAAAACAGTAATGATTGAGACAAATCTGATTCTTGAATCAGAGCAAACATAACATGAGAGCACATTTACAAATCATAGCGCAATATTAGCGTCAAGCCTAAGTTGTAGCAAACAAATTATTAGATCCATAACTTTCAATGGTAAATTTATTCTCAAGGTCCCATTATCCTCAAGATCATATTCAGGGACAGCGGTAAGGATTCTGAGAACATACCGCTCTTTTCTCTCCTGCAAATTCTTCAACTGAGCTTTGTAGTGGTTTTCGATATATTGCTTTGCTGCTACAACTTTCTGTTTTGTAGCATTTGATGGTGCATCATTTATTGGAGGCTTGCCGATATTCTTCAGATTTGCCTCCTGTCCCTTCTTGGTAGGACTAGCTTGGTCAGTTTTTTGTTGCCGCAGTTTAAACCAGCTCCTTGTAGATTCCATTGTCGCTCCAACTGAATATAGACTTGATCTGGATCACAGTATATGCTTCATCACCACTGCATAGATGCAAATTACAAGCATAAATCAAATCGATGAATACAAGATATTGAGTGAAATGCAGAAACCAAGCGATATCTCCAAAACGGAAAAAGTGAAACCCGAAAATTCAAGCCGGGTGCTTCAAGAAATAATTCGGAATCACAGTAAAGAGTTGCATACAGAACTCGCACATCATATCATTTGATACACAAATTCATTGAAGAGGTACGCGTCCGCTATTCATCAACCCATGATGAAACTTTCAGGTCAGATTCGACCGATGATTCATATCACAACAATTAACATCTTATAACGCAAGTTGACTCCTCATTTCACTATGACTTTGTCAGAAAAGAGGTTGAAACTTCACTTCCAGAAAATCAATCTTCACGCACTGGCTAGCACTTCAATATACACATACATATACACGTTCTCTGTGTGCGTCAAAGTTCATATAAAATCCATAATCCTGCTCAAAACTCGATCAGAATCAATATGAAAACATCAGCAAATTCAACAGTAGCACACTTCTGAGTAAACTTCGATCGCGAACCTGAGTTACTCGACAACGAAGTCAAATTCCGACGAAACCACAAACACCAAAAACTCCCGACGAAATTCACACACAGAAAAACACGCAAGTCAAACAACCGAAAATTTCAAACTCGAATACAACCTTCGCAGAGAATCAAAGAGACTTACATGAAAAGCAATCCGAAATTAGATTTTGTTCGACGAATCAAACTACGCTTGACGCAAATTCACTTCGAACTGAAACGGAAAAGAGAGAGAAAAAAAATCTTAATTCCCAAAGGACATTACGGATTACGCATTACGGAGTAATAACGTCGGGTAAAGGGCATTTTCGTCCTACAAGAATTAACTGGGCCGGCAGACGCCGTTAATGATACAGTGACGTTGACTCGGGAACTAAAAGGAACGTTGCCGGTAACCGGTACATTCTCAGAGGGTATCATAACTGACACGTGTAGGTTAGGGCTGGACATTTTGTCGACCAAACGTGAGCGCACGATCACGGAATGGAAAACGGAAATGCTGACATCAGATGAGAACAACTCGCGCGCGAATTGGAGAAAACGCGTCTTTTCGGTAAGAAAAGATCGTAGCCGCTCGTTAACGGCACACGTGTCTACAAGATAACACGCTCCGGTAACCAATCATTAGACCTTCATGGGCCGAATGTGAGCCCAAATGCTGTCCATTAGGCCCAAATTAGATCCAGGCGTTAAAGGGGTATTTTAAAAGGTTAGGAGTTTTAGGCAATAATATAAGAACGTAAGGGACTGAGGTTAATTTATACATTCTTCTTCATTTCGTTTAATACTCTTCGGCTTTCTTCGTTTCGAATCAGACGCGGATCTGTGAGATCTAGAGGAAGGGGAGGAAGAAGAAGACGACAATGGCAGCGGTGGCGGCAGGACCAGATCATCTCTTCAATCTGAGGAACAACTTCTACTTGGGAGCTTACCAGGCGGCGATCAACAACAGCGAAATCCCTAATCTCTCGCCGGAAGATGCCGTCGAGCGAGACTGCCTCGTCTTCCGCTCTTACATCGCCCTCGGTAGCTATCAGGTGTGTTGAACCTCTTTCGAAAACTTGTTGTTGTTGATGTGATCTGGTTCGATCCGTGGAGATGCGATGTGATTGTGGATTTTGTTTCTCAGCTTGTGATCAGTGAGATCGATGAATCGGCCGCTACTCCTCTGCAGGCAGTGAAACTGCTCGCTTTGTATCTGTCGAACCCTGAAAATAAGGTAATTCCGTATATTATTTATATTTTCCTTTACGAGGCGGTGTTGTCAGTGATGTATTCACGTCGATTTGTGTTCCCGTCCTGGATTTACGCGGAATTTCTGATTACGGTTGCAAAAGGCCCCAAATTTGTACATGGAACAGTAATATTGAATTTTGGGTTACTAAGTTCAGTCTAGTGATGTGCATTTCATCCAGGCTGGGGGATCAAGTTTCCGAATTTGTTCGGTTATGGCTCTTTTCATGCCATTCACTGTAAAACAATTCATTCCTGATCACGCGGAGTTTGATTGGTCTTTGGGTCTTGCAGATTTTTTTTTTTCCATTCTGAATTATCTGGTTTGTTATAAATCTATGACCTGATTATATAACGTGTCCCAGAATTTCTTCTATTATGACTGAGGTCTACTCAAGAAACTGTTTTTTTTTTCTTTTTTTGAATATTGGCGTCTATCTTCTTGGTCAGGAATCAACCATTTCAAGTTTGAGGGAATGGTTGGCGGACCCAACAATAGGAAACAATGCTGTTTTGCGATTGATTGCTGGTATCATATTCATGCATGAGGAAGACTACAATGAGGCCCTGAAACACACCCATGCTGGAGGGACCATGGAACTGTAAGCTATTTTATTTGCGTTCTATGTGTATTTTCCGCTCTTGATATGTAAGCAGAGCGAAAGAGTGAAAATTCCCTAGCTTAACGGTATTTGTTTGGAAAAACTGTCAATCTGGGCTAGAACTTGAATGAGATATCGGTAATGATTAACAACACGTAGCGATATATCGTCTGTTTATTTTCATGGGCTGTTATCCCTTTTTTGTTTTCATCCAACTCAGTACTGACTTATCTTACTGTCTTTTTATGTCAAAATTTACGTGCTGAGTCTCCTATGGTGGTGATTTTCCTTTCTAACTCATGCTTTTTCTTACTTTGAGAGTACTGGTTGTTACTGCATTTGTAGGCATGCATTGAATGTCCAGATATTCATTAAGATGCACAGATCTGATCATGCTGAGAAGCAGCTAAGAGTGATGCAACAGATCGATGAGGATCACACTCTCACTCAACTTGCAAACGCCTGGTTGGACCTGGCAGTGGTATGTGATGATACATCGATTTTCTCGATGCACACTTTGGAGAAATGTTTATATTCCTACACTAAGCTTATCCGTGATTTCAGGGTGGTTCCAAGATACAGGAAGCCTATCTTATTTTCCAGGATTTCTCTGAGAAATACCCGATGACTTGCTTGATCTTGAACGGCAAGGCAGTTTGTTGCATGCATATGGGTAACTTTGAAGAAGCTGAAACCCTATTGCTTGAAGCACTCAACAAGGCAAGTAACACTCACTTCTTGATAAAAAAAACTTCACTAACTTTCACCGCGGAACTTGTGAAGCTATGTGATGAACAATGGATTCTGAAAGGACTGAGCTTGAAGAATTATTTACGATAATTGCAGGATGCTAAAGACACGGAAACTCTTGCAAACCTCGTAGTTTGCAGTCTTCATGTCGGGAAATCATCCTCACGTTACCTAAGGTAAAGAAAATTCTTCTACTCAGGGTACTAACCCACAATCTGTTTCTGGATAAACCCTACAAATCTGATCCCTTGAACAGAAATTCATGCAAAATCATGATGAATAATATGACGTCTCTTCCCTCCCTGTTGGATACTGTAACGATGAACTGTCCTGTCCTTTTGCAGCCAACTGAAACTCTCTCACCCGGATCACGTGCTCGTGAAACGGGCAGCGTCAGCGGAAGAGAACTTCGAAAGAGCTCTTCAGTCAGTAGCCTGAAGACTTCAAATCCATTTGGTCAAATGAAGCATCATATAAAGTGTTACTTACCACCTCAAAAAACCAGTTTGCTCTTCTCGTCTCAAACACCTATTTTTCTGACATTTGGGGTAGAAATCTAGCAGAGCATGATAAATCGCTAAGTGTATGATCAGATTTTGCCGTTGAATATGTGTGTGTGTGTGTGTGTGTGTTTTCTTATCCCTCACAAGTCATAAATCCATCACTTGCCCTCGTTTCATGTCATTGAGTTTCAGATCAGGTTTGAGAAAGAGCCTTCTGGTGAACCTTTCCTCAGAATGTGTGCCTATTATAGAACACACACACACACACACACATATATATATATATATATATATCCATTTATCCATCTAATATCGATATCCTCGACATTACTAGAGAAAGATCAAATAAGAGAAGGATAAAAGAGTATGGAAGAGGAAGCTATGTTATTATACTTCATAACTATCGGTTCCAATACATATAAATATGTATGTATATATATATTGAAATGGCTGCTTCCTAAAAGAACCTATAAAAGCCATTACAAATGAATATCAACGACAGTAATCAATCAAAACTCCCATATGCTAATATATATGCATATATATGTGTGGTGTGTCGCAGTAACCCGTCATCTCCTAAAAAAAAAATCTGATCATCTACCGGTAAAAACGAGTCACCTCCATCATCACTATCAAACCAACGCATGATGAGGTCAGTATGATGAAGAGGATGACGATGAAGTTCCATAGCCATGGCGGTATAACTTCTGCCATCTCCAAGCAATCCCAAGGCTCTGTTGAAGATCAGTGAACCGGGCTGTCCAGTTAAGCTCCTGCCTGATCTTGCTCGGGTCACTGTACACTTCCGCATAGTCCCCTGGCCGTCTTGGGAAGTATTCCACCTTTATATCGACCCCCGTCGCCTTCTTACACGCCTCCACAAACTCCTTAACTGATTTACCTGTTCCCACATATTAGGACAAACATGTCGGTTTTCCTTCTTCTTTCTGTCTTGATACTTATATCTTGCTTTGCCACCACAAACCCGTCATAGAGTTAGTTGTTACCTTGTCCCGTGCCAACGTTGTAGATTCCGACTTTACGGGGTTTTGCCTTTTCGAGAGCCTTAACATGGGCATCCACCAGGTCAGTTACATCTATGTAATCCCGGATGCATGTCCCATCACCGGTCTTGTAGTCTGTTCCTTTGATCTGTACACATGATCAGATACAACATCAATCCATGAAGGGCTTAGCGGATAAGTTGTGTTCTGTACTGTAGCTAACATCCCCTTTTGCAAACACTTTACATATCCACATATATATACACACTGACACATGTATAAGAGATCAATCACCTGCAAGCCCGGGATGATGCCTCGTGCAGCATCAAAGCAAGCACCAGATATCCGTCCATGCTCTCGCAGCTCAGGCCTCGGGGCTTCACCCAGTCTGCCCTCTGGGTCAGACCCGATAACGTTAAAATATCTGGCATTGGATAAAGGAAGAATCTCATCAAACTCTGGAAGAAGAAGAAGAAGAAGAAGAAGAAGAAGAAGAAGAAGAAGATATCCAACCACAACCAGTATATATAGAAGAAGCAGGCATACAGAAAACAAGAATGGCCAACCAACCTTAGGATCATAACAGCCATGTCTGAATTCTTAGAGAAATCCAATATGATATCTTCTGCCATCTTTTTCGCCTTTCCATACGGATTGATCGGTACCTGAAAAGGGTGTGCTTACACAGTTTAGTACACATATCAACAGTGACAGACTGTACGGAAAATTTCCCAACACTCGCCTGAAGAGTATCTTCTGTAATTGGCATCTTTTCAGGCTCCCCATATGTTGCACATGTGCTAGAATATATCAAAGTCTTCACACCATGAGCAGCCATCGACTCTAATACCACCAATGTATTTGATGTAATATTGTGATAATACCTACCGAAAAAACAAAAACAAAATCTTTACTAAGGTGTTCATATAAGACGGTAAATCAAAGACAGAAAAGAGGAACGGATGCTTCACTTGAGAGGATCTTGTGTGCTTTCCCCGACATAAGCAACAGCAGCAAAGTGCATCACAGCATCAAATGCATTTTCCGAAAACATTTTGTTCACCTGAAATTTCAGTTAAGGAAACAAGCTTTGCTATTCGCTTTATCGGTCGGTCCTAAATATAAAAACTGCACCAAGCTATATCAAAGGATACAGCCCTTGAATCTCCAAGATCGGCATAAATAAATTGAAGCCTTCCAGGTTCAGGAAACAATTCTTGCAAAACCTTGATTGCACCAATATTTCCACGCGAAAGATTGTCCTGCCATTGAAAAAGAAAAGATATTTCCCTTATACACTACTAGACGAATGAACTTAAATAAAATCCAAATGCAAGCCAGAAAACATACCACAATGGTCACACGATAAGAATCCTTCAGAAGACGTAAAGCTGCATGTGACCCGATATATCCAGCACCACCAGTGACTAGAACATGAGTAACCCCTGGTTCATGCCTTGAGAACTGGACAAGAAGAAGAACAACAAAGGAAGATCCAATCAACTGTCAAAACCCTTCCTTCCATTTATCATGCCACTGCAGACTATATATACACCGATACTTGAAAGTTAACGAAAAAGCGAAAAACTTGTATCGAGGAAATGGGAAAGTTACCACACTCGGGGTATTGAACGTGGGAGATTGCTTGAGCATGAAAATGCAAAGGGATGTAAGGGAAGCGGCCAAAAGAAACTTCCCCAAGTAATTGTTTTTCCTCTTTGGATCTGCATAATCCAAACCTACAGTTCCAAATACCATCAAGATCTGTGAATTTACACGTCCGAATTAGCAAAAGCTTCAAACTTTGATGAAAATACCAAGGACCCATAATAAGCTTCATGTTTCTATCAATCAAACCATGGATTTTACACAAACAGAGAACCGTTTTCTCCACTTCTACATTCTACATTGAGTTGACCATCAAATGCGGAACAAAGTTTCAAACTAATCTCTCAAAACTACAGAAATTTCAAAACTTTTAACCACCACATAACATTAAGAAGAATAAAACATTTATGATCTGTTTATCATCTATTTACACTCTATTGCATGGAAAACTGCTAGGATCAAGACACAACTCACCTCCAAGGGACATAGATCTGTTGTGCCTCCCTTGGTTTCTTGATCTAACAAAATTCAACATTGCGAGTCACTTCAACTCGCCGGAACAATCACCAATGCCCGATGATCAGACACGCCCTAATTTAGCTTAAAAACACGAAAGTGGAGATTAGAACCCTAAAACTGTGAGAATTCACAGATGAAATGATCTGCAAAAACCCTCAGTATCAGAATCTAGACAATTTAAAATAAGTGAAAATTTACGAGTGGTCCCTGAGAATAGTTTTAGAAAAAGGAAGACAGAATAGGCCAGCAGAAAAAGGAAAAGACATTGATGAACCTTTGCGCCTGAAAATTTTCCAGAGACGAAAACGAAAGAAAAACGAACTGATCAAGATGAACACTTTGCCGAGAAACAGAGGGAAACCCCCGGAAATTATACGCGCTTACAACCGATTCGAAGATCCGACAGGAGAAAATCGAAAACGAAACCAAAAGATTTGAGGGTCCGTAAAACTATTCCGAATGTGAACATTAGGGGGAAAAAATTATAAAATAAACGCCAGATTGGAATACTTTTGTCGGAGCGTGTCAGTCAACAAAAAAAAAATGACAATGCAGGGGGCAATCGGAGGAGAAAAAATCACACCGACCCAGAAAAGTTTCAACAAAACCAAAGCGAAATTCAGTACGCAAGATCCGAATCCCGCAACCGACTCCACGAAACAAAAAACCCTAGGAGAGAGAATGTGAGAAAATATCGGAACTCGAGCAGACGAAGAACAGAAAAAAAAATGGAGCCGTTTTTCGCAGAGAGGAAACAACCAAACGCTATAACCAACGAAACAAAAGAAAAGAGTACCTGAAGAAGAAAACAAAAGAGGCATTCATGGTGTCACATGTGCACCGCAAACTCCAAGAACACGAGAACTTCCTCTACGCTGTTCCTCTC